GAGTGTTACGTGTGTGTGTGTGTGTGAGTGTGTGTGTGTGTGTGTGTGTGTGTGAGTGTGTGTGTGTGAGTGTGTGTGTGTGTGTGTTATGTGTGTAGAAGAAAAATTAGAGAGATGGACATTAGAAGGTTATCTTGGTACAGAGATTTCAATGAAATTTGTTTCTTATCCTTTTTAAAATTAATTTTTCTATAATGTTCACTTGCTGATTATAATTAAAATACTTATTAAAGGCTAAATCTAGGCCTAGAAAGCAAATCAAATACAACACGTTTCCTCTCTGGAGAGCATCATCACGGCTACATGACAGAGTTCAGCATTTCTCAACCTGTGGGTCGCGACCCCTTTGGGGGTCGAACGACCCTTTCACAGGGGTTGTCCAAGACCATCGGAAAACACAGACATAATTACATATTGTTTTTGTGATTAATCACTATGCTTTAATTATGTTTAATTTGTAACGATGAAATTGGGGGTCACCACAACATGAGGAACTGTATTAAAGGGTCGCGGCATTAGGAAGGTTGAGAACCACTGACAGAGTTGGTCAATCCTAGCAGTATAACCTGAAGTACTGCCTGATTCCCAAACCTGGGCTTTGCTAACAAAAATTCACGAGACCCTGTGAGTCTCAGAACAATCTGGAACGCAGCGTCAGCTACGCCAGAGATACAGAGGACCAAGTGGGACCACACGGAAGCCTGCAGCAGGCCCAAGGCATGGAGCTCTGGCCCACTTGCACCTTCAGCTTCTACGCCTACCTAGGAGCATATTCAGCACACGTGGGTAACACACGCTGCTTAATGAAAAGTCAGCTAAGTGTTTCAAAGTCATCGACACAAGTGATTCACTGAGCTCTCTCTGTGTGTGACATGAGGAGTGGGGAGAGGCAGAGTGAAGCATCAACAACGCAACCATTTTTCCAGCAAAACATGACCCACGGACTGTCCCAGGCTCGGCCACTGAGAAGTCAGAGCTGAAACAATGTTGGCTACAAGCATCACTAATGTGACCGACATGTGGATGGGGGGAGATGCTGAGTCCAACTTGCAGCAAATGCAGACATTGTGCCTAAGAGGGCTAAAAAAAACAACAATAATAAAGTGAATAAAGAGGACCCAAAGTTAGCAGGGGAGGGCAGGAGGAGAAAGGACAGCTTTGGTTTGATATTCAGGGTTCCCTTCAAAGGGATCCTGGGGGAAGCCAGGGGGCTGATATCCGGCCGCCCAGAGCTCTTCCATGGGAAAGAGAAAAGCTTCCATTGGGAGACTATGCAACTTACAAGAAACCTGGACAGCGAGAACCTCTCGGGAACAAATGCCAAGAGGGAGATGAATTATTCAGTGTGCAGAGACGTGCCGTTCAGACAGGATGAAGAGAAGCGATTTTAGCTGCACGGGTTTTTAAACACACATACGTATACACACGTGCATGTGCGCACACACACCCCTTCCTGCCAGGGAGGAACTGTTTAAACCAGTGCCCCCTGGGAAACTGCGGGTATTTCTCTGGTTTGTAATGTTTCCCTTTGGGCAAGCGCCAAGAATGTGAGCTGGGGAGAGATGTCAGCTTTCAGATGTGGCCAGGACTTGGGGGGGCTTGCCCCCACCCCCTGTGATGAAGTAATCACCTCACCCTAGGCCGGTGCAACCCCAGGCTCCAGCCTCCACAGCCTGGGCTGCAGAAAACCCCAATATGAAATCAAATGACCCAAAGGCTGGAAGGGCGAGAGGGAGGGAGGGTAGGGAGGGTGCCGAGCGAGAACTCGATCTGCCTCTGCTGAATTACCAACCTGTGAAGGGACACAAACATTCCAGGATGTTTCACAACAGGCCCTCCTGGAAAAGGGGCCCGGAAGCGTCGCCTTGGATACAGGTAGGTCCTGCCAGATCACCCTACACCGGGCACACGGGCACACCTGTCCCGCTCCCAGCTCCATGGGCTGTGG